GACCTAAGCTTAAATTGGGTTCTGCCTTTGAGCACAGAATACTAACTGTGTGACCCTGGGCAAGTTACTTAATCTCTCAGGCTCCTAGGTAACTCTCTAAGACTGTGGGTGACCAAGAAGGTGTTGACCTGCATTAATGGAGGGAATTTCCTCACCTGGGAGCTCTCTATATCAATACAATCACAATTTTTAGAAATATAAAATACAATTTTAATATATAAGCATTTTTATATGCCTGTATTTTATATGCATGATAGAATGTAAGCTCCTTGAGGGCAGGAACTATCATGTTTATCTTTGCATTTCCAGAGCCTAGCATTGAGCATGGCATACTTTAGGAGCCCAATAAATGCTTGTTTGATTGAAGAAGTTGTAAATGGAACTCATGACATTTTTAGATGAGACAATATTGGGAGGAACAGCTGGAGTGAATTGGTAGAATCAGGATCCCAAAAAAGTGTGACCCAACTGGAACACAGGGCTTCATGAAATGAGATTCTTTTAGATCACACGCACAGTTTAACGCTGTAGTTAACCAATCAACAAGCATTTATTACATACCTCCTATGGGCCTGGCACTGTGCCAAGCAAAAATAGTCCCTGCTGTCAAGATGGTTACATTCTAATGGGGGAGACATCACATACGAGGGAGTAAGTGGAATGATGCCTTATGGGAAAGGCACTAGCAGCTGGAAGGTCTGAATTTAAACCATCAGTCTAGTAAGTAGGGGAGACTTGGATGGACAAGTCTTTGGATAAAAAATTTCGGCATCTTTGTGACCACAGGTACAATACAAGTCAACAGTGTGATGATATCACCAGAAAAGTTGGTGTGATCTCGGCACCAGCACTAAGAGAATCTGAGTCCCCCCTCACCTCCCCAACCCAGGGGTGAGGTCACAGTTTTGTCGGGTTCTGCGGTGGGCAGGTCATGTAGGAGATCTAGTATTCAGATCTGAGATCCATATTTAGGAAGGACTTTGAAAACTTGGGATGTGTCTGACCGGGATAACCAAAATATCCAGGGTCCTCAAGCTGTGCCTGGCACACAGTAGGCACTTACTAAGTAAGTGCTTGTCTATTGACACAGGGATCAATGCTTGGAAATGAGGATGTTTAACCTGAAGACTTGGTGGGAAATGTGAGTTACCATTTCCAAGCATTTGAAAGGCTGTTATAGGGAAAGGGAATTGGATTTGTTCAGTCCAGATGCAAAGGCTAGACTTGGGAGTACTGAAGCGGGGTGAAGTGGGGTGTTATAAAGAGGTTTGATGCCAAGAAAACCTTCCTATAAAATAGATATAAGACAAAATCAAAGCTATCCCTACCCTCAAGGATCTTATATATTCTATTGGATGCCTCTAGAGGCAAAGGTAGAATGAAATAGGCAGGTCCCCTTCAATTGGGGTTTTCAAGAGACTGTAGGACGATGACTCTCTGGAGATGCCTGTGGATGATGATGATGATGATGATGATGATGATGATGATGATGATGGAGGATTACAAAGAACCATCATAGGCACCTAAGTAGAGAAATGAGAAGATACTTCCATCACACTTCTTTTTAGAGGTACTACATTGCTTCATACTTTTTCAATTCGTTGGTCAGTTTTCTTCATTTTAAAAAAATCTTCCTCTTTTAAAAAAAATATCATTTGTTACATGGGATGGCTCCTTGAGAGATGGGAATGTGGGAGGGATACTGTAAGAAATACTGGTGGTGTAAAAAACAAGATATCACTAAAATTTTATTTTAAAATAATAATAGATGAGAGCTATTAGTACAGGGTTGTTGTTTAGTTGTTTTTTTATCAGTCATGTCTGACTCTCCACGATCCCATTTGGGGTTTTCTTGGTAGAGATACTGGAGTAGTTTGCCATTTCCTCCTGAAGCTCATTTTGCAGATGAGGAAACTGAGGCAAAGAGGGTGAAGCTACTTACCCAGAGTCACACAGCTAGTAAGATTTGAATGCAGGAAGAGGAGTCTTCCTGATTGCATGCCCAGCTGTCTCTATCCTAGCTTCCCGTTAGTATAGGGTTAGAGAGGGCAATGGCAAAAAACTCCAGTTTCTCTGCCAAGAAAACCCCAAGTGGGATCACAAAGGGTCAGGCACAACTGAAAAACAACCAGCACATTAGTACAGGGAACTCCTGGATGAGGACATTCCCTCCACCAACTCAAGTCTCAGAGAGCTGCTTGGAGACTGGAAGTGACTTCCCCAGGGGTCACAGAGTCATTAGTATCAGAAGTGTGGATTTGAACCCAGGTCTTTCTGACTCCAGGGCTAGTTCCCTGTCTACATGCCATTGTCTCTTAATGATAATTAGCATTTTAGTGGTGCTTTGATGTTTGCCAAATACTTAATGTATGCTCCCTCATTTGATCAATAATCAATCAATACAGATTTATTAAGCACCTACTATGTGCCAGGCACTGTGCTGAGTGCTGGGGATAAAAAAAGAGGCAAAGGACTATCCCTGCCTTCAAGGAGCTTATAGTCTAATGGGGGAGACAGCATGCAAATGAATATATACTAAATGAGATATATACAGGATAAATAGGAAATATTATGTGACTCTCACAACAGCCTTGTGAAGTGGGTGCTATTACTAGACCCATTTTACTAATGAGACAGAGAGAGAGAGAGAGAGAGAGAGAGAGAGAGAGAGAGAGAGAGAGAGGTTATCCAGCTAGGAAATGCTCAGGCAGGATTTGAACTCAAGTTGCCCAGATTCTGAGATCCAGTTCTAGACATCAGTTCAACTAGCTGATATCTGCTAACCTCTTCTAGCTCTAAGATTTGGTGTTGATACAGGGTGGCCATGGGCCCCCAGTCAATGCAACGAGCATTTATTTAGCACCTACTATCAATCAAGCAATGATTAAGTGCCCACTTAAGGTTCTGGGTGAGGATGGGTTTGGAGAAAGGGACAAATCCTAGGGAGGCCAGTTAAGAAGCTCCTGTATTAACCCAGACGTAACTCAGGAAGCTTGGGAGAGGCCTGAGAGATGTTTTGATGAAAACTGTTTTGATTTCTATAGCACCTTAAGGATTACGAAGAGGGTCTGTGTGTATGTGGTGGAAACAAGCATTTATTAAATGCCTACTATGTGCCAAACACTTTCCAAGTATCTTCTGATTTGAGCCTCACTGCAGCTCTGGGAAGTAGGTGTTGTAATTATCTCTATTTTTTTCAGTTGAGGAAACAGACAAACAACTGAAGTGATTTGCCCACGGTCACACAGCTAGTGTCTGGGGCAGAATTTGAACTCAGGGCTGTCCGACTCCAGGCCCAGAACTATCCACTGCTGTGCCTAGTAAGTGCTTGATAAATGCTTTTCATCATTCGTAGATAACACCAGGTGTCACAGCAGGTTAAGCTTCTGGTGGGGCCATTTGAAAGGCCAATTGAAAGGAGTGGGGCTGGCCACTAGGGCCCTGCTCTGCAGCACTGTGCTCAAGGTGGCTAACCCTAGACTTTGGAATTTTTTTGGTTCTAAATCATCCGACATTAATCTTCTAGGTGACGAAAGTGTCTCTGGCATATTTTTGTCATTTCTACTGTATCTGACTCCTCATGACCCCATTTGGGGTTTTCTTGGTGGAGCTACTGGAGTGGTTTGCCATTTCCTTCTCCAGCACATTTTACAGATGGGGAAACCGAGGCAAACAGGGTGAAGTGACTTGCCCAGGGTCACACAGCTAGTAAATGTCTGAGGCCGGATCTGAACTCGGGAAGATGAGTCTTCCCAACTCGGCCTGGAGCTCTACATGCTAAGAAGGTGCTATTGGCTGCAGTAGATGTTCAGACCAGAAACTCCAGCTTTTCGTTTCTTGTTTCCTCATTGTTCGGTTCTGCTTTGTCTCGTCCGTAGCAGCCGTGTTCTAAAAACGTCTGTTGGGATGGACCTTGATCTTCATATTTTTCATATATCTACCTACATATCTGCATAGTAGATTCTAGGTCGAGAGCTGGAAGGGTCATCAGAGACCCTCTAGACCAACGCCCCCCTTTTCTACATTGTTTCCCGGAGTGAAATGGGAGCTCCTGGAGGGCTGGGCCTGATTGTCTCTGAAAGCAGCCCCCCACGATCGCTCTGGATAGGAAAGGGGGGACGTGGAGCGCAGCTGTCGCTGTCCAGTCCTCCTACTGTCCTGCAGGGGGGGGCTCGCAGCCCGCGGAGGCGTCCGAGGCCAGGTTACTGCGGCCGGGGGGAGGGGGAGGGGAAGGGAGAGCCGTCCCAAAGAGGGACGGGCGGGGGCCGCCTCGAAGGGGAGGTAACAGTGCTCCGAGCACCTCCCCCATCTCCACGCCCCGGGCGCTGCTGCAGCCCTTGTCTCTGCAGCCGCCGCTAACAGCCCAAGGTAATGTAATCTCAGCGCTGCTCCGCTGGGCAGGTGTGGCAGCAGGATAAGCGATGGGGTGCCTGGGGGGCATCCGAGCCTGGCCAAGGGAGAGGCGAGGAGGCAGGATATGGAGGAGCAAGGAGCCGAGGAGCCCTTATCTGGGCAGGGTGGGGGTGGGGTGGGCGGTGTCAGAGTCTGGCCAAGGGAGGGCCGAGAGGGATAGCATGGGGAGCCCTCATCGGGGGGCGCTGCCGCAGCAGGACGGCGCCTGCCCAGCCCTGTAACCCGAACTGCCCCCTGGTTAAAAATACCGCACCCCCTCCCCGCTCCCCGGCCAGCTGGCAGTGCCCTTCAGCCCCCAGTCCTGCCTCTGCCCCAGCCCGCTCAGACTATTTCCCTTTCCCCAATATCAGTTTTGTTCTGTCTCTCAGCTGGCCCTGAGCCCCAGCCTGGGGAGGGCCCCCGAGAGACTGCGTCCGGAGACTGGAGGCAGAGAGATAGGGAGAGAGAGTTGGGGACAGGAGAGCTTGGCCACAGCGCTGGTGGTCAGAGAAAACCCGAGTCAGCTGGGGAGGAGGCAGTGGGAGGAGAAAGGCAGTGGGAGGGGACCAGTGAGGCCCCGAGGCTTTGGGGTAGGAAGGCAGGGCGGGGACCAGATTCTTCCTGGTTGGGCCCTACCAGTGAGGAGACCGAGCCAGAGCTTAGACCCCACCGGAGTGGCCAGGGACGGCACCCCGACAGACAGAAGGACGGACGGACGGACGGACGGACGGACAGATTGACGGGCACCGATTAGACCAGGCCGAGGTAAGGGGGCTGCGGGCTTCCCTGAGCCATTGGAGTCCAGGCACAGGGCTTGGGATCGAGTTCCTGAGACAGGTGCCCCAGGGCACTCTCTGGGGCTTCGATTGGCTTTGGGACCCAGGTATCCCCATCCATCTTCCCAGTTGGGTGGGGGGTCAGTGCAGCCGGCTAGGGTTTCTCCTCCTTGTAGAGGGAAGAGCTTGGGTGTGGTGCAGATCCCAGTGCTGGGAACCCGGAGTCCTCCAGTGCCCAGCCTTAGGGCCAGGTCTCGGGTTAGAGGGTTGTCAGCCAGCCCCGAAGGGAAGAGGGACAACTTGTGTGCAGACAGGTCCCTGGGTTGAGGGGTGACAAGGAAGTGGAAATAAGGGCCTGTGGAGAAGCTTTCATCCTCCCTCCACTTCCACTATTCCAGTCTTGTCAAGTACCCCATCCCACCCAGCCCAGCCTAGCTCAGGTCACTGTTAGAAGCCTAGGTCTCCTGGGTTCTGGGAGAAGGGGAGGGGAAAAAATACCACATAATATGGTAGAGTGCGCGGAGTTAGATTTGAAGTCAGAAGATCTGGGTTCAAAGTCTGCCCCTCCTCTTTATGTCTTGTGTGACACTGGGCAAGTGCCTTCCTTCTCCGGGTCTCCATTAGTTTCTTCATCTGTGAATTGAGGGGTTTGGACTCACTCTCCATGCTCTTGTCTGGCTCGGGGGGAGGGGTGCATCTGGATAAGGGAGGGGACTTGAGGTTGGAGCAGGACCCTGGGCTTCAGAGAATGATGGGCAGGGAAGGAGGTGATTCAGAGGCCAGACCTTCCCCTCAAGCCCCAGTTCTGAGAGGCGAAGTAGTCAGGGTTGCTGTTGGGGCTCTAGGCTCTGAGGGAGAGGTGGCCAAGGGATTCTGGGAGCCCGGATGCTGGGGTTTGGAGTGGGAGGGGTTGGATATCTCGAGGTTGGGGCTGACACCCAGGATCCCGGGATCCTGAAAGGGAAATGGGGCTTGCTGCTTGGAGGGTTGGCCGTCTTGAGGATGAGGGGCTGGGGTGGTGAGTTGGAGGCTGGTGCCAAGCAGGGAGTGGGCAGTGTAGTAAGAGGAGTAAGTAAGGCCTGGGTTCTACTCCTCCCTGTGTGACCTCAGCAAAGTCCTTTTCCTTCTGTGGCTCAGTTACTTCTATCAAGTACAGGACTTGGAGGAGGTAATCTCTCTGTCTTCCAGGTCTAAATCCTCTGATGGGGCTGGGGTGGAGGGAGAGCAGGCCCCGGGCCTGCAGTGAGGAGTTGGACATCTTGAGATAGGGGATATGTGAGGGAGGTAGGGCTTGAGGGACCAGGATGGCAAGGTTTTGAAATGAAGTGTTTGTCCATCTTGAAGATGGGGCTGGATAGGTGAGCTGGGGACTAGGACCCCTGAGTTCTGAGGAGTGACTAGGGCTGGGGATGGAAAGCACTCTTGAGTTTTGACTGTTCTGGGCTGAACATCTTGATGATAGGGGGAGGAGGTGGGGCTTCTAGGACCCCTGAGTTCTGAGAAGGCAGCACAGAGGTTGGGAGTGGGAAACTGAGGCAGGGGTTCTGAGGGGTAGTGAGGGTGGGGGTGGGAGGTAGGGGCAGAACTCCAGAGTTCTGAGGGGGAGCAGGCCTGGACTCTTGTCACTCTCTTGCCTCCCCAGGATGACAGAAGAGATCATCACCCCTGTGTACTGCACGGGGGTGTCTGCCCAAGTGCAGAAGCAGCGGGCCAAGGAACTAGGCCTGGGCTGCCACGAGAATGCCATTAAGTACCTGGGCCAGGACTATGAGCAGCTACGGTCCCAGTACCTGCAGGCTGGGGCCCTTTTCCAGGACGATACCTTCCCCCCTTCTTCCTATTCCCTGGGTTTCAAGGAACTGGGGCCCAACTCCTCCAAAACCTATGGCATTAAGTGGAAAAGGCCCACGGTGAGTGGGGCCCTCGGGGAGGGTCCCCTGGACCCCAGAGAGATCAGGGCTCCAAAGGGAGGCTCCAAGGAGGAGCAGGAGGAGCTGGGCCCAGGAACAGCGTCTGGGTTTGGGGAGCAAAGTGTGGGGGCTAGATGCCCGGGGGGTGGGGCAGCTGGGGGAGCAGGGAGAGAGGGCTGAATGTCCCAGGGAATCCAAGATGCCTTAGCTCTCCATGTCTATGTCGTAGGAACTTTTGTCAAACCCTCAGTTTATCGTGGATGGGGCCACCCGAACAGATATTTGTCAGGGAGCGCTAGGTAAGCCTTGGGCTACTCCTGTTCGTTCTAATAACTTCATTCTCTCATATTCTCTCTCTCTCTCTCTCTCTCTCTCCCCCTCCCTCCCCCCTTCCCTCCCTCCCTCTCTCCCTCCCGCTCTCTCTCCCCCTCCCTTTCCCCTCTCTCTCTCCTACACACACACACACACACACACACACACACATACACATACACACACACACACACACACACACGTGCACACACACCCCTTCCCTCCCTTCTTGTATCTGGCCCCTCCCTCTTACAAGTAAGGGCAGGCTCTGATTATCATCTTCAAAGCTGGTTTGCCTGGATTCCTGGGTCTTTTCCGTAAACTGTGGGGGTGTTGGGAGGGAAACCAGTCCAGGAGATCTGTAGTTTTCTCTGGCTTGGGGACATCATGGGCACTGCTCAGCCTTGCTTCCTACTCTGCTCTTGTGGGAGTGAGTTGGTGGTGGGAATAGCAGGCCTCTCTGATGGCTGGTGCCTATTGCAGGGGACTGCTGGCTGTTGGCGGCCATCGCCTCCATCACCTTGAACGATACCATCTTGCACCGGGTGGTGCCTCACGGGCAGAGCTTCCAGCATGGTTATGCTGGCATCTTTCATTTCCAGGTGAGGCTGGTTTGGGAGGGTGGGGTCTAGCCTTGGAAGCAGCCCAGATGGAGCTGAGAGGGGCGGGGTTCACCAGGAGTGCAGAGATGGAAAGTGTAGATGAGGTGGAATCTCTTCCCAATCAGGCTCACAATCTAGTGTGTCTGTTAAGATGTTCTTTCTGTGATGCCTGACTCTGCAACCCCATTAGAGGCTTTTTTCCGCAAAAAGATACTGGACTGGTTTGCCATTTCTTTCTCCAGCTCATTTTACAAATGAGGAAACCGAGGCAGACAGGGTGAAGTGACTTGCACAGGGTCACATGGCTAGTGTCTGAGTCTGGATTTGAATTATCTTTCTGTCTCCAGGCAGGGTATTCTATTCACTGTGCCACCTAGCTGCCCCTAAAGCCTCAGTCTAGTAGGGGAGGCAAAACATGTAACTTTAACTTAAGTCTGCCTACTTAAGTACAAAGGTGAGATCAATTTGAAAGTGGGGTGAGAAATTCAAGGAGACAGGCCTTGTTTATAGGAACGTTTAGGAGGCCCCTACTTTGTGCAGAACACTCTGCTGGTCTCTTGGAGGAGATATAGTTTAGATATGACTGGGTCTCTGTCCTCTTAACTTCTCTGGGCCTCAGTTTCCTCCTTTATAAAATGAGGACGACATGACCTCTAGCTAGGTCCCTTCTAGCTAGAAATCTATGACTCTTGTCTGGAGATATGTATGTGCCCCATTTATTCATCACCTGTCCACCACTTCTCTCCTGTGAGGTGGGAGGCATTTCGGACCAGGTGCTCAGGAGTCACAAGCATTCCTGCATCCATCAGTCAGTAAGCTTTTATTAAGTGCCTTTCGTTTGCCAAAAAGACAGTGCCTGATCTCAAGGTGCTCACAGCATGCAAACAATCTGGAACAAGCTAGACGGAATACAGAATAAATTAGAGCTAATCAACAGAGAGAAGAAACCTGAAGGAAGGGGGACTGGGAAAGGAAATCCTTCCTGATCAGAATTCTACGGAATTTTCCGTCATCTGAACAAGGATCCCATCTACGTTGTTGTTTAGTGGTTTCAGTCATATCTGACTCTCCATGACCCCATTTGGGGTTTTCTTGGCAGAGATACTGGAGAGGTTTGTCATTTCCTTCTCCAGCTCCTTTTATAGATGAGGAAATTGAGGCAAACAGGGTGAAGTGACTTGCCCAGGGTCACACAGCTAGGAAGTGTCTGAGTCTGGATTTGAACTGAGGAAGAGGTGTCTTCCTGCCTCCAGGCTGGGCGCTCTATCCAATGCACCACCAGCTGCCCTCATCCTGTCTCTAACATCTCCCATGAGTGGTCCCCCAGCCTCAGCTTTAGCTAGTCTATTCTTCTGGATGGCTCAGATTTAGGAAGTTTTTTTCCTGTCCCCATGCCCAGATCTACCTCTCTACTACTGTTTCTGGCCTCTTGGGCTAAGCAGCCTAAATGGAACATGGCTCCAAATCCTTCAAGATGCCTTTCGTGTCCCCCTGGGAGGTCTCTTCTCTAGATTAGGTGTTACCAATTCCTTCGGTTTATTCTAGCCATGGACTTGAGTCTCTTCCCCATCCTGGCTGCCCTCTTGGGTACTCTCCAGCCCCTTGATGCCTTTCCTAAAATATGTCGTCCAGAACTGAGTATAGCACTCCAACCAGGGTCCACCTAGCTGGGACAGAGCGCCAGCACCTCTGTAGTCCTGGATCTGAGGCTTCCCTTAACGTAGCCCAATGTTATGTTGTTGGCTTTCTTGCCTGCTGTGTTCTCCACTTCTTACTTGGTCTGGCCCACAATGCTGTGTGTAGCCTGTCCAGAACATTTTGATGGACCCTCTGTCCTCCTGTGAGCTCTTCCTCTGGGCTTCGGGCTGTTTGCAAATCTGATGAGCCTCTCTTTGCTTTTGTCTTTGACAAAACGCTAAAAGGGGGAGGCACTCCGCCCTACACCCTTTTCTAGCCGGCGGCGTTCAAGCTTTCATGGCTACTCTTTGTGTCTTTGCCCTTTTTCTCTTCCTCCGTGGGGTGGCGTATTGCTCGAATCTTTCCATCAACATTGGAAAAGCCTGAGAGATTTTGCTGAATCTGCAGCTTTCTCCTGACTTAGCAGTCTAGAAAAAAAGAGATGATTCTGGTGGGACCTGTTCTTGATGAAGCCCTGCTCCCTCTAAGGTCACTGCTTCCTTTTCTGAATGTTCACTAGGCATCCCTTTAGTGATACATTCGAGGATCTTGCCAAGACTTGAAGTCTTAGAAGCTGATTGGTTTTTAATTTGCTGACTCTTCTTCTTCTTCTTTTTTTTTTGGATGAGGTCTACATTTGCCCTCCAATTCATTGCTACTTTTGTAGTTCTTGAGAGTCAAAGAACACTGATGGTGTTCTTGTCGTCTGCCTCTGTGTGTTTGTGTGAGTGTGTGCTCGCTCGCGTGCATGAGCTAGTGAGCAGGATCTAGATTGTTCCCTCCCCGCTGTCACGGTCCAGAACTTCAGGGACACTCACCCTAACAGAGTCAGCTCCTGGTGTTGAGGTCAGATTCTGGAAAGAGTGGTCCGGGTGTGAAAGAATTCACTTACACCTTCTCTGTAGCCATTCATTGGGAGTTTTATTTAACATGTAAGCAAGACGGGCCCCATTTGTGAGAAGCTAATGAAAAGGCTGCGGTATTTGGGGGAGTTAGGCTTATTCAGAGGTTTCAGAATGATGATATAGTTTTAGGGTTTTATGGTAGTTAAAGATAAGGACAGGATAAGGAAGACCGGAGAAATTTTATGACACAGGATGAGGGAGGCAAAGAATTTTATGGTCCAGGACAAGGGAAAGTTTAAAATTTCAAGATAAGGGGAAAAGGACTTTAGGAGCTTTCAAGTTACAGGATCTCCAAAGTACTGGAGAAGCAACCCTTAATATTCTTAATATATGCCCTTAGGGCACCATTTGTATCCACATCACTGGTGTAGAGGACTGGGAATCAGGAACCTTAGTGTTAGTTTCGTGACCTTGGGCAAGGCAGTTTCCTTTTTTCTGAACCTCGGTTTTTGCCTCTGTAGAAGGAGGATACCAGAATCTGAACTACTTCCTTCACTGGGTTGTTGCAGGGGAAAGTGCAACCTCCCCAGGTGTTTCTCAGCTGATTCATCCCTAGGGCCTGGGCCAGGTGGAGGACCTTGCTGTAGGGTGGGGCTTATCTTGTACTTTGAAGTAGAAGGCGGCCCCTTAATAGCTCCTGTCCATTGCCTAGGGCACCGAATGCCCTTCCCGTATGGCTGCTCTCCCCATCCTCTCCTCCTGTGCCTCTGTTCTCACCTCAGTTTTTTGGCCTTTGGTGCCTCACCCATTCTGCATTTGTACTCTGACCACCCAGTCCCCAAGACCTCCTACCCTCTTTGGGTGAGTCCTGGTCTCAAAGTCAAGAGCCCTGGATTCAAGTTCTGACTCTGACACTCACCAGCCCTGTGACCTTAGCCTCTTCACTTGTGGTATCTGAGCCTCACTTTCTTGATTTGTAAAACAGGGACACTACTAGTGGATCCAGTGCCGGAAAGGTCCAGCACACTCTTATAAAATGAGAAAACTCCTCTTCTCGACGCCTTCCTCGCTGCTCTTTGGGTTCAGTGATCTATGTAAGCGGCTCTCCAATTCTGCCTTCTCTCTTGAGAGCTCTGGTCCTGCACTGCCAAGTGCCTGATGGACTTCACCTGGATGTCTGCCCCAGGGGCATCTCAGACTCAGTTGTCTAAAGTGGAACTCACTGTCTTTCTCTTTGGACCTGTCCCCCCCCTCCACTTCCCTGTTGTTGTTGAGGGGGTCATCATCTGTCCAGCTGAAGTATCTGGAAACCCCATTTCTAATGAATTGCCATGTTTTCTTGATTCTGGGGACTCTAGGTCAGGGCCTTAATCCCTGCTCACAAATTGGTCTCCCTCTCTAGGTTATTATCTTTTTAATAATTTTATTGAAAAATTTTTTAATGAACAAAAACAATCTATTTTTTCTCCCTCCCCTATGGAAAAAAAAGAATGGATGAGAACGTACAGGTGAAACGCAGTCTCCATTTGGCCAAGTCTGCAAAATGAGAGCTGTCAACCACTCTCTGTCACCTCTGTCAGGAGTCTAATACATCTTCACACTGAGGCCGAATCTTGGAAAAAAAAACAGAACCAAAAACGTTTACTGATAACTTTTTCTTTTACATCACCAAAGTTTCTCCTGTATCCCTTCTCTTTTCAGAGATCCTTTCTATATAATGAATGCCATTTTTTTTTTTTAAAGAAGAGGGGAAAAAACCCAGGAAAACTGATCTACACATTGTAAAATTCTGACAATAGATGCCTTGCCCCACACCCTGTCCTGCTGGGCTACAAAGGGGTGGGGGTAGGGAGCCGATTTTCCTTTTGATTGCTCTCTTTCCACTGTGGGAGTTCTCTTCTAGGTGGTTTCCTTGACCCTTTGCATCAGATCTAGCAAATCTTTCCAGGCTTCTCTGTATCCC